TATATATATATATATTCATATATTGTTTTGATGATAGATAAATGTTTAATTATGTTGCCTACGTTTGGTCTGTACATGTATGTGAAAATCTATTCGTTTTGCTGTATTTATTTTTTTGTTATGTATAGATTTGCGTCAAAATAACATCGGAACTCTCTCACTCTAAAAAGTCAATCCATCCGCCTTTCGATACTGGACACCGCTAAATTCAACGCAATAATGTCAAAACTATCTGATGCTGATTTGCGTCAGACTGGGTCGACGTTAATTATTAAAATTTATTTGACAAGTTCAATTATTATTTTGTTTTAGGAATAACTTTATTTTGTTTTAGGAATAATTACATAATGGTCGACGAGAAATCATGCATCGAATGTCTGATCCTTCAACAATAGTAATTCTTTGGTTTTTGCACTTATTGTTTTTCCAGTTGCAGTTTTTGTGTGGACGTTAATGTTAGGATTTCAGATTAGTCTTTGCAGACAAAATCATTTAACTAAATTTTCTTTCTGTCATGTTGATGCTTTAATATTCCCATGGTGTTGGATGAATAAAACTGTTAATGAGGTGGTTTTGAGCCGAGTTGGGGCCATCTCAAAATCCAGTCGAATGGACTGAACTTGATTTGAAACCGGCTCGTCGCGTGTTATTTATGATTTCAAGCTAACTCGGCTCGAAATTGAATTGAACTCGAGTTGGCTTGAAATTAATACGAGCTGGCTCAAATTATGAGTTATTTGGATCCGTACCAGTTTGATTTGGCTCAAAATCCGCTCGAACTCAAAACGAGATGGCTTAATTTTTAGGTTTTTTTTATCCGTTTTAGCTCAAAAAATTTACTTATATCTAATTTTCTCTTTTCAGCAATCTCGTGCAAATGATTTCAAAATTTTATCAGTTATCGCCACAAGGAAGGGAAAACAGGTATGGTGGAGCATTTTTAGTTTGAAATAATTCAGTTTCTTTAAATGGATTACATCTTTCTCATCATCAATCTTTCTTTTGATTGAGCAGCAAGTTGGAGATCCTTGAAGTAAGTTCATCTGTCTCATTCTTCTCATAAAAATTTGTACCTTGCTTTTACTTTTCTCCCCCCTCATTGAAATAAATAGAAAACAAAAAGAAATCATTGCACCAGAAATTACATGGAGAGCTCTCAAGTATGCTAGATTTAAATTTGTACCTTGCTTTTACTTTTTACCCCCTTTTTGAAATACATAGAAAACAAAAAGAAATCATTGCACAAGAAATTACATGGAGAGCTCTCAAGTATGCTAGATTAGATTTACTAGGTTCGTACTATAAAACTTTAAATCCTAATATGATGGATGCACCAAGTTTGTTTTGTAATTAATTAAAATAAGTAATTAACAATTGTATTTTATTGAAATGCAAGTTTTTTGTGTGGTTTATTTTTTGAGCAAATAAATCTTATTTCAAGCAAAAATTTATTGGTTTTCTTTTATTATGATTTAGACACTGAGAAAGACATTCAAGAATTTGGATCATGATGTAAAAATTGAAGATTTTATTGGTTCAAGGTATGGATTAAATGGTTTAATTTATTTTAGCTGCATATTATTATGATAAAGTCAAATTTCTAACATTTTGTCTCTCTTTTTTTATTTTATTTTTTTTTGCAGTGCTCGGACAGAAGAGGTATTGGTAGTAGATTACATGCATGAAAACAATATAAATCAAATTATAAAATTTGATCATTTTTAGGTTTAATATTATGTCTTTGTGCAGGAGTTGACCAACCATTTGCAGACATTAAAAGCTCAGTTGGCTGAATTGGAACTGAGATTGAGGTGATTCAATATTTTATTATACTAGAAAAATAACTATTTGCGCTATAAAGATCTTTTATTCTCTTGTTTTTAATCTTTTTAATTGTAGTCTTTAGTTCTTAAAAGTTCAAACTTCTAGTTAGTCATAGTTTCAGTTAAAATAATGATTATTCCTCATCAGTATCATTTTCCTTGAATTCTTTTCCTTATGAGTTAATATTGTGTTTCTCGACAAAATTGACGAACACAGATTTGGCACTGAATTGCTTTTTCATGTTTACCATAATCTTATTTTCTTCTTATCTCCTAAATGAGAATATGTCTAAATGAAATGGTGTTCTTTCTTAAGAGGACATCCAAGTGTCTTAGTATCTAGGTTCATATTCACTGGTTAAGCATTGTAAATGATGCCTTTTAATGATGGTTATAGTTATTGGACTGATCCTGGAAAAGTTCAAAGCATAGACCAGATCCAACGTATGGAACACACTCTCAGGGCATCTCTTAATCAGATTCAAATACAGAAGGTACGTGTCATTCATTCTATATAATATTGACATTCAAGATTATACAAGAAACAATACATGCATCATTAAGTTTTATGAAATTTAGTCAAAAAAATTAAAGAGTAGCCTAGCAAAAAAGTTATACAAGTAGAATTATATTTTTGTGGAGTGTGTCAGCTTTAGGTAAAATTAATATTATAATTTTTTTAATTATTTATAAATTAATTGGTATGTTATTAAATTAATTAATTATAAATTAAGAGATATGTTATAAATTAACTGGTGTTACTAAAGTTGCTTGCATTCTCAAATACAAATTTTGTTTTTTGGCTTGCTAATGTTGCT